AGGTCGCGAGTGCTGTCTGTGAGGATCCCAGCAAAAATGGGTCGACCTTAAACTGTCAAGCGAAAAGAAGGAAACAACCTTCAGTTGATGGCTTCAGCTTGTGATGTCTTCGGTGTGCTGCTGGATCAAGGCTTGCATACGTATCACATCATGGATCATGCCATTTTAATTTGACGGATAGAACGGACTCAGCAAGAGCACGTGAAGCGTGACAGAGTTAAAGAGACATGCTGCAGAGGAAACAAATGAGTACCAACTATCCTCCAGTTTGGAAGACTCTTCAGGTGTTCAAGTTGTTGTTTGAGGGCCTTTCACTTCTACCGAGCATGGCCGCGCTTGAGGAGTCGAGGACCTGTGCCAACATGGAAGCATTGCTGGACAGTTTGCTGCAAAGCGAACCGGATCTTGGAGATCCTTTGGGATACAGGCTTGCATGGGGTAAGCTCAAGGTAGATCAGTATCCGATCATGACGACAAAGCAAGTGGATGCCTTTCGCAGAGATGGGGCTGTCTTGCTGAGCTTTGGTGAATCCAGAATCATTCAGGATGACACGCTGAGGGTCACTCCCTCAACCAGACAAACCGGCAACGTGGGCCTAAACACAGTGGCAGATTACATGCTACTTGCTGTTGCGAAGCAAGTGGTCCAGCTGATGCCAGCTGTGGTATGTGACGTGCAAAGCTTTGAAGAACTCTATGATGGTCGGCTCATTACGGACCCTTAGCTGCCTTGGCCACCCTGAGTAGTTCTTCTCGCTTTTCTTTGCTTTTAGCATCCGTTTTGCAGGCTTCTAGCCCTCAAGAGCTCTCAAGGCTTCAGATCCGGTATTTTGTGTTATTGATTTTCACGCGAGCTGTGCTTAGCGTTTAGGAGCTTTGCTGCAAATTGCACAGCTTGCACAAGGGGCATCGCTACTAGGAGCAAGAACGCTACTAGGCGCTCCTGGCATTGCTACTAGAAGCAAAGACGCTACTACCATGGCACCCAGGACATTCTTCCGGAAGCCAAACACACCACCTACGATGGAAGCATCCGCGAGAGGGACCACACGAGAGTACTTTGGCGAAACCGAAGAATGGTATGAATAGGACGTTAAAGGACTCAAGGCCTTCGCTATTGGGACTTGACCGCTGATTCCATGATTTTACACGAGTGCTTTTGGGTCTCTAGCCATGGAAAGCGAGGTCAAGGAAGACGCGATGCGTTTGCATGTCGATGATTGTGACCACCTCTTGCGAGCTCCAGTTCAGCTCCTGTTGGGCATCAAGAATGCAACTTGCAAGCATTCTTGTGAGGGAAGAAGGAAAGAAATCGAGAAAGAGAAGGTCTAAAGGTCTGCAGAACAAAAAGACGAAAGAATGGAAAAGGCGATAGACATAGCTTCTGTAATTAGTATCTTTCTTTTGAGTAGTAAGGACATGTAAGCACAGTGGTGCCTAGGATCCAAGATCTTTCCAGGGCACTGACAAACGAAGGGTGTAGCTACGTCCAAACCAAGACTATGGAAGCCCTTGAGAGCTTGGTGAGCTCGTTGACTGTGTATTTCTCCACCAAATGTGGCTCCGTTGAACAGAGCCTTTGGGGAACACTTTGTTCTTTTTTACCTGTCTCGTTTGCAGTTTCAGCCAAGTCTTCGGTGCAACAAATTGAAAGATGTTGTTTTTCCCCACATTGACGTGTGGGGTTTGTATTTTTGGTGTTGTAACCGTCCCGCCCTCCGCCTCCTCCCGCCCTCCGCTTGCCATCAATCACTTGTCACACCAACCAATTGCCACCAACCAATTGTCATCAACCAATTGTCCTCGACAAATTGTCACCCACCAATTGCCACCAACCAATTGTCACCAACCAATTGTCCATCCACCAGCTAATTGTCTTCTCCAAATGGGGCAGATGTACGCCGGGCGCTGGCTGGCCGGTGCTGGCCGGTGCTGGTGGGTCTCTGCCCTTCTTTTTAAAACATGGTCCTCAACCAATTGTCATCAATCACTTGTCACACCAACGAATTGCCACCCACCAATTGTCACCAACCACCTACGCAGACATTCTCTCTTGCTAAGTTGCTAACATGTGGGGTTATCCGGCCCTACAATGTTCATAGCTACTGGGCCATCGCAGCCATCGCTAGTAGGTTGGAGGCCATTATTAGTAGGAGCAAGGACGCTACTAGGGGCCCCTGGCCCTACTACTAGGAGCTACTAGGAACAAAGGGCATCACTACTAGGAACAAAGGGACGCACGCTACTAGGGGCTCCTGGTCTTACTACTAGGAGCAAGAAGCTACTAGGGGCAAAGGGCATCGCTACTAGGAACAAAGGGACGCACGCTACTAGGGGCTGCTGGCCTTACTGCTAGGAGCAAGAAGCTACTAGGAGCAAAGGGAACCAGGGGGGCGCACGCTACTAGGGGCTCCTAGCCTTACTACCAGGAGCCAGCTGCTGGACCTGCTTGTCCAAAACCCAATCTGAAACATTCGAACTCATGCAATTCAAAGCAGCCGTGTGTGAGGCTGTGCGCCTCGGCGCCGACAGGGAGGCCCTCCAGCCACGGCACGAAACAGTCGTGTCGTGGCTGCGAGTGGTCGTGGCCCATTGGCGTGAAGCCGAATACGCCAACCTGCGCAACAAGGACAGGTAACGAAAGAGAGATCGCTCAAGGTATATCCTACTACTCCACGGAATTGACAGCTTCAACATGGGCTAGGCCAATACAATGCTTCTCTCCACATTTGAGAACAGCTTCCGTCAATCCAGGCGAGGGAGCGCCGCTCCCAAGCCCAGCTCGCTACAGAGCGAGAACTGCGGGCCAAACTCAAGCGCTTCGAGAGGGCGCAGCGGGCTTGAACGCGCGCAATTCAAATTTAAAATGGAAGCTTCAATTTCGCGCGTGAGGTGCAGTGGGAACGGGCCAGCCAAAACAACCGGCAGCGCCGAGCCCGCTGGCAACAACTCAAAGAGGGAAAGTCACAACAGGACATTTCCATTGCGCTCATCTTTTCACAAGGAAAGCCCATTTGCTTTGCGCACATGGCAGGACAAGCAGGCCTTCGAGGGGCTCAAGGAGCGAAACCGCCTGCGACAGCAGCGGTTTCGCTCCAAACAAAACAACGAGGCCGACACCGGGATACCTGTCAAAAAGAAATTGATTCCTATCAATAAAAATGTTCCCTATCAAAAAACATATTCGTATCAATATTAAAAGGGACACTAGTAGGGGCTCCTGGCCTTACTCCTAGGAACAAGGACACTACACGGAGCAAAGCGCATCGCTACTGGGAACAAAGGTTAATGCTGCTAGGGGTTCCTGGCCTTACTACTAGGAACAAGAAGCTACTACAAACAACGGGCATCGCTACTAGGAGCAAGGACGCTAGTAGATTGGATTGACATCTTGCTCCATGTTTCTCCGACGGGCGCCCGCAGAGCCCAAGGTGAAGGGAACGGCCACCACAGTGGCGCTGACGCCACCAGATGCGGACCTGCACAAGGAGGGTATAGACCCTGAGATCCTTCGCAGCAACAGTTACAAGCACAAGCCACCGACTCACAGCCGCACTGGGCATGATAACAAATGGGTGTGCATTTTATAGGGAGACACACAACAACAAATGGGTTCTAGTCCATGTTCTTTCTTCCCGAGCGCTTTTAGGAGATCTCTCTATTTTAATACATATCCAAGTTATGATTGAAAATATACCGCGTGCAGTCTGCGGTCATCTAAGATTAAAGCGTTTCCGAGCTGCAATGATTGAGGAATATCCTCTCAGTCGATGAGGATGACATTCCGCTGCGACCTGTGCTGTACGGCACATCCGATGCCCCCCCAAATCCAGGCAGATTGGAAATCGACGAGTGCGATTAGCGACCAAGCGCTGGAAGCTCCTTGGACGCAATGGGAGGTGCTGGAAGCTCCTTCTCGTGTATTCATCACAGTTCTCGGTCTATTTGCCAACCAAAGGCCTGGAAGTCTCTACATGGACTACTACAGAGGCAGCAACATGTGCCGGCAGCAATCAGTTACGATTAATCACTTTTTTGGGGGAGGTTATCGCTATTGGGTTGGAGGCCATTGCTCTCAGGTTGGAGGCCATTGCTATTGGTAACTCAAAAAGTTTTGTTTGATTTAATTGTTCTCGGTCTATTTTGCCACAGAAACAAGTTTTGAGGAAAACTGGCCGGCTCACAAGAGTCCAGCTGGATTTCTAGGTGCGCAGGGCCAAAACGTAAGTCTTGTCACTAGGACCAACGAAACGATGGCCTCCAACTAATGCGATTCCTTATTTGCACATGTCTTTTCGTTCTTTGGACCTGCGCCCTTCTCAGGCGAATTTGCACTTGGCCCAGGTGACATCCTTGTTGCTTGGACGCGCCTGACAAGCAAACCCCAAGGCATGAAGGCATTGTGCCGGCTGTTGGTCCATAATCTGTGGTCCATTCGCTAATTCAAAATGTCATGAGTATGTTCCTGATAAGACCCAGACTTACTTTCCGAACATTCAGATGTTGAGCACATTGTGTTTCAACCTCCCAATGCTAGTAAGCCCTCAGAGTGCAACAGGTCAAGCGCAAGCTCAAAGAATTCACCACATCAAATTCGAAGTCGGGGCTAGGTCTACCCGGTAGTCCACTCCCGTCAACGGACGTTGGTGACTGGACGACCCCTCCGAAGACCCCCGTAAATCTTCCCGCTCTTGGAGTTGTTTGTTCTGTCCTAGGTCAGGGTTTTGGAGTGCACTCTTTGTGGCATACACACGATGTTGAAAAGAACAAGGTACGAAAGAAACGCCATGCGTAAAGACCAGGGCCTACCTTAAAGACGCTCTTGGAAAGCCCATGTGCGTATTGCCTTCGGATGACGTTTGCCTTCAGACCTTTCTGTTCTTGAACCTTTTGGAGAAACACAGTGCGGAGTGCGGAACGTGCTTCTTGTTACTAGCAGCTAGCTTGTTCCTAGTAGCGATGCCGGGAGCCCCTAGTAGCTTCTTGTTACTACTAGTAAGGCACTTGTTACTAGTAGCGATGCACTTGTTACTACTAGCTTTCGGTCACTTCGTCGTGTGCTTTCGCTTTGAGGTCCTGGACAATTACCGAACACTTCACGGCCGTGGCGCCCTTGAGCCTGTGTGCGGCTTGGAGCATCGCCGTGCCTTGGAGTCACGTGCATCCAAGTTCCGCACTCCGCACTCTTCGCGTTTGTTTAAAAAGCCTTTAACCTTTACCTTCCTTACCTTCCTTTACCAAAGAATCTAAAAATCTAGGAACCACATCATCAAGCCTGAGCCCTAGCTTGCGTCCAAGATACTAGCAGCTATTTGTTCGCTTAGTAGTTTGTATCCTTACTTGCTTAAGCTGTTCAATTGATTTGACAAACTGAGTTCGAGAAAAGTGGAGCAAATTGAGTGGTTTCTACCTGAGTGTTCGCTCCAGTGGAAGAGTAGTGTTTAAGTGGTGAGTGCAACATGGTCTGTTTTTGCACGGAAAATAACTGGTTTCCGGAAGGCTTTATATTGGATGGTGTGAAAAGGTGACATGGGCCCCGCAGAGCAACAGTGGAGCATCCTTCATGAAGTGAGAACAGTTCCAATTCTTAGTGAACCATTTATTGCGATTTCTGACTTGCTGCCACTGTTGTTGAATTTGGTGTGAAGCTCAGCCAACGAAGAGCCAATCGTGGTGGCTCTTTTTCAGGTTGGGTCAAGCGACTTTGGCTCTCTGGCACGAACCAGGAAGAGGAACTGCAACATTGCAAAGCTTCGCAAGAACAACCTCGTCGCCTGGCTGCAAAGGTTAAGAACACTTTCTACCTTGAGACAAAGGCAAGCAGCTTTCCCTTGTGGCATGAGCGTTTGGCATTCCAGGCCTAAGGTTTTACAGTACTTGTCTATCCCTTTGTTTGCACTCAATTGCTTTCAAAAGACTTCTCCAAACATCGCGCAGATTCAACACCTAAGCTCGCCAGACATCAAGTCGGCAAAAAAAGATGCAGCTGAGGTGTGTTTTGCCGCCGCAAGGCTTATTGGAGCGGGAAAAGTAGGTGTCACCCTTGCTCTTCAACCTAAGAGCGATGGCCTCCAACCTCTACTAGAGCGTGGCAAATAAGTCGCTGACTTTTTACTGACTTCTGTGCCCAGAAAAATGGCAACGACACACCGCGTGAAGCTCACTCTGGTCTCTTCTCAGTGAGTCTATGAACAAACAAAGTACTGTATGTTTTGTGACTTCAGGGCACGGCCATAGTTTTTTGCAGTTTATTCTCCTGTACATTGCATGATGCGCTCGCAGAGACGGGGCAATATGTGGATCGCAGCAATCCTTTCATGTTTTGCTGTGGAACACCAATTCGCAGAGCCAATCTTCTTCAGATCGTGCGGAAAACGTGTCTTCTGGGAACCAGATGAATAGTGTGAGCGCTTCTTCAATTAAAACCCCTCCCCGCCCTCAAGCTTACTTAGCCCTTACTTAAGGAAGTAAGTGCCTACTTAGTTAAGTAAGGGTGAGGGCAACTTTGGCTTTAGAAAGAAACAAGAAATAACAATGACAAGTAAAAAGAGTGTTCTCCGCTGGTTGCGCCACTGCTGTTCCCAGCGTCCGCTGGAGTGCAAAGCATGATGCCCAGGGACCTCAATCACCAATCCGAGGTCTCAGCCCGGGCCTGTCAGACAGATTCTGTGAAAATGCAGGCTGTGCTGATCAGGTCTGATCCGGTACATGTCAAAAAGGCTCCCAACATGAAGATCTCAGAGCCAGTCCTAAAAAGTGCTAAGATTCGTCCAAAACCTAAAGGGGTTTAAGAGGAATTTCTGACGAGAGATTCTCCAAGGCCTTGGAGCTGAAGCTTGGGCACCTTGTCACTGAGATTAGACGCAGGAGCATTCTCAGATACGAGGAAGAAACATGTCCAGAGAAAAGAAGAAAAGAAAACGGTAAAAAGAAAAAGGAAATAAGAAGCTAGTAGTAACAAGTGCCTTACTAGTAGTAACAAGAAGCTATTAGAAACAAGTGCCTTACTACTAGTAACAATAAAAGGAAAGAAGGCTATGACAAATTGGGTCTGAGGCGATGAAGGTGCCCTGTTTGCCAAAGCGGAGTGAAGGCCAAGCGGGCTCAACCAAAAGTCCGCGAATGTTCAATAGCTTCTTGTTACTACTAGTAACAAGTGCCTCGCTAGTAGTAATAAGTTCCTTACTACTAGTAACAAAAAGCTACTAGTAACAATTGCCTCGCTAGTAGTAACAAGTTCCTTACT